GAGGTTTAATGGTATTACCCACAATAGTAGTGTTGTATAGTATTTAAGTTTCCAATCTTGTAAAGACTTCTACTGAAAATCAGTACAGGTGCCAAAATAGCTGGTTTGGGTCCAGTGAAACAAAAAAACAGGTAATACAGTCCAGTAATACAATTCAAAAGGTTGTTTTTAATCATCTTTTATAAAATTGATTAACGAGTTTTTAAAAATAAATAAATAAAAGAAGCCAAGCATAGCTGACTCTGAAAGTTACCTTTTCAGGTTATTTAACCATATTGAAAACTTGCTGGATTTTTCAGGGGGATGACAGAAAAACGAAGCTTTGTTCTTTCATCTGAATTTTGACCAATTCATCACTGAATTTCAGAAGTGTCAGATGCTTCTGCATTTTGGCAGTATTTTGTTCTGAGAACACTGAAGCAGAACACTCACACATTTTCAAAGTAGTCACTCTGTTCAGCACAAACAATTTGTAAACAACAATCTAAAAGTTGGTGTTTCAGACCCAGAAAGTGGAAAAGAGCTGAATGGAGACTTTCCAGTTCCCAGCAGACTGCTCCCCCATCCAGATACACAAGCTCAGCACTTGTGTGTATGAATATCTATGCGTTACGTCTTTACAAGTTTGAAGCCTAAAGATTGTGCAACCAAGCTATATTTGAGACCACTTTGTAGATTATTATTGACATCCAGACACCTCACAGTATTGACATTCCCAGGTAATCCACTGGTACTGCATTCGTGATGCCATTTGAGATTTCTGTGACAAAAATATCATCTTGATCAAAGACAAAGCAGCGTGGTTTCTCCTCCAGTTTCATGCAAATAAAGGCAGAAAAACATTTTTCACATCAACCATTTGAAATCATCTTTTCTCACTGAAAATGGTGCCATCGTGTACACAACACCACGAGGTTTTTGCCATGCATTGTTTTTTCCTCTTGCAGTGATGTTAATGACCAAAAGCACAGCTTCCTAACCTCACAACTTTGCAGTTCTCTATAGTAGAAACCCCTGGACCAAAGGTCAAATGCACCACATGCACCATCTGCTACATACAGTTAATTAAACAGTTTAAATTCATTTAATTAGTGGCACATACTGAATTATCCAATTTACTCACAGGTCCTGGTAATTCCATGTGCAAGTTAAGCATGTGATTGTATTAAACCCAACACCACACCACCCTCTGCAAAGGAGGAAGCATTACACCAAGCTTATAAGGACCTGATGTGAACAGATGATTGGGGAGCCTACTGGAAGCCTCTCTCATCTTCACCACCACCCAAGAAGCTGCGCTGAATATGCTCGCCTGTTTTATGCCCATAATCAAACATTACCACTCCACAAAACAAGAGAAGGTGCTGCCCAGCCATGCCTTGGGACCTTAGAATTATATTTACTGTGTTTCAGGTATTTTCCTTATTCTAATCCCAAAAAGTAGACACAGTGCACATCGGCCAAGCTGCCTGTCTACCTCTTGCAGTCCAGCAGACAGGACACTCCCAAGGGACACAAGAATAGCAACACAGCAGCCTTCTTTCTACAGAAATAACTTATGGGAAAGGAAGCGACAAACCTTCTGCCCTGCCAGCCCACCTGAACTTTAGCCTTCAAGGCTTCCCTCAGCCCTGGCCGTTCTGCTGAGGCTGCCAATAAGGGCAACAATTTGCTCAGTTGTGATGGGAGGATCTGCAGGGCTGACATATAACCCCACAGAAGCTGGACCATGCCCAACATCTCTATTTCCACAGGCCATTAGGCAGCTGTCAGAGCACTGACCTATAGTTTCTCCCATCCCACCCCATGCAGATTCCAAGTTAGTGAGAAAACGTGGAAGGCGCTGGGTGCCCGCAGCCTCTGGGCTGCTTGAACAAGGAACCTGTCTGCCCCACAGTGCCACCTGCTCCATGACCAAAAGGATTTTACAGTCCAACCCGTCGTGTTTCCAGTGAGCTACAGCCTCAAGGGCAGGCAGGCTGCTCTCCTGTTTTATACCATGAGAAAGTAGCTAGTTGGTCAGGAAAGATGTCACAGATCTGGCAGCCACCACCTGTGACCGTGGCAGCAGTCTTCCCTACCACCGGTATGTCTGTGTGGATTTCTCTCTCTCATGCATCAACCTGCCCTGACAAATGCTTTCAGGCCAAGTGGTACCTTCATTTTAATGTTGGTATTCATCAATGAAAAGTAAAAATCCGCAGCCATTTGGCAGAGATAAAATGTCTTTTGGATCACAGGTCTCAGCAGCAACGTTTTCCCCAGCAAAATTCAAGTAGGCACTGCAGGCTTGAAGCTACAGCATTTTAAGTAACAAGCTCTCTTCATCTCTCACAGATTTATTTTTTCATTTATTTACAGCCAGCCTTCTCTCCTCTTCCCATTCCTACATCTTTTCTTCATCCCCTCCTTCCATTCCTGCCCTTTGTTGTACATACGATGTGTTAAGGGGGCTCACAATGTCATCCATCACACAGGTACCTCTGAGACCTGCTCTCAGAGCTCACCTTAAAACTGGAATTTACAAACACAAATTCACCTCAAAACCTCTGCTTTAAGCCAGTACTGATCCTGCCCTGTTCCCTTTACAGGTCTGCTAAACAGTGTCCCCTACACAGATGGGCATGGCAGGGGCTGGGACAGAGCTCCTCATCCAGCTCAGAGATGAAGCCCGTTATGTTTTTTTCATTTAAGCCGTGTAAAATGCAATGTGTGGAGTTACACGGGAGAGACCCTGTAAACAAGCAGAGGGCCAGTTGCTTTATACAGCATGGAAAGTTTCTGTTTCTTGGAACAGGCAGGTCAGCTTGGAAGGAAGTCAACCCTCAAGGTCTTTCTCCCTCTTTGGGGCTCATCTGAACCACCGGCTAGCCCTGAGTGCGCTGCCCAGGAGTTAGGAAAGCCAAACAAACAAACAGATCAGTGTAAGGCACGGCCTCAGCTGCGGCAACGTTTCCATTTCTTGTCTGGCCAGGCGCTCAGAGGTGGGGTCACATCACCAGACCACTGCTATTTCCTCAGCTGAGAGGGTCAGCAGGCTGGAGATGGCTGCTAATGAGATGCACAGGTGGGACTGGCGAGCAGCAGCTGTCCCCGGGTTAATATACGCCTCTGTGCCCCTCCTGAGAAACTTGTGAAAGCAAGGGGAGAAAACATGAGAACCGCTCCAGAATTAGAGCAGGTGGCCCCAAGCCAGCTCCCTAGCACTGGGTACCCAGAGAGCAGGAGAGGAGGCTCAGATGCAGCTTTCAGACTGGTATGCTGAGTCCAGAAGAGTTCATTGGCACCTCCGCTCCCCTCCCCTGCCTGCCTCCTGCACCAGCAGAGCCTCTTGCTGCTTCCTTTCCCCTCCTACGCCCGGCACCGCTCTGACTTTCCTCCCCGCTCAGCTCCCCTTGCTGAATTCAGCTCCAAGCTGTCGCTCAAAGGGATGACACTTCTGAAAAGCGTCCAGATGCTTCAGCTATTTCTATTCTGCCTGGCATAAGGTGAATATCCAAGTCAGCTGGCTGTGCTCTGTCAGGTCTTCTACAGCCAGAGCCCTGCCCCTCCAAAACACCCCCCCCTAATTTTGGAAACACCAGTCCTGACTTCGGTGCTCCTGACGAGAAGCAGAAAAGCGCACGCTGCTAATCCCAGCTGCAGGAGAGGATCCAGAGCAAGGAAGATGCCTGAATAGGAAAAAAAAACACTAGCTCCTGCTCGCTTACAAACATTTTATGGAGTTGTTATGGGAGGAAGAGAGAAGTCTCTTGCCAAACGCATTGTCTTGGCATAATTATTCGTCCTCCCCCCGCCAAGCCAGCCTCCCTCTGAATCGGGCCATAAGGAAGGAACGGAGCCAGACAGGACTTCTACACATCTTGGCTCAGTGCTGCGGGTGTAAGCTGTCAGGCAGTGCTGTAGCAGCAGCAATGTGTTACTGAATTGTATAGGAATATTAATAAGCTGGAGATGAACACTAACATCTGTCACAGAGTCTTTCAGAGCCACAAAAAGAATAAGAAAGGTCTAACAAGAAAAAAATAAAAGCCTAATCTGCTGTTCTGGGCAATACCTCCTTGATCCAGAGGGAACAAAGCTACCCCAAGCCAAAACCTTCAGCATCACAGAACTCATTTGAAGTGACTGGTAAAGCTGAGATTTGCACAATTGGTTTAACTCTGCTCCCACTGAGATCAGGGGTGAGATATAGACAGATTTCAGTAGGAACAGATCTAAATCAGAGAGGAGCACTTCTGAAATACTCACCTTCAAATCCCGAGCCCAGAAGCAAACAGAAAACCACCCCTGAAAACGAGCTCATCCATGCCATAGGATTAGCTCTACCTTTGCCCTGCTTTATCAGGGCTTCTCTGACTGTCCTTAGAGCTTTGCAGGCTCTGTGCACTCCCAGGCAGTTTGCTGCAGGATTGCACTGCCCTGAAATCCCAACAAGACCTCTCCTCCAGCAACATAAACCTATTTCTTCTCACCCGGTCTGCCACAAACACAAAATGGTTTGCTCCCTCTCTTTTGCAGGAGGATTTTAGTAGGAAGATTTCATGGGGTTGGTTGTGGTGTTTTTTTTTGTTTTGTTCCCCCTCCCCCCTTCTTTCCTTTTTTAATATCTGAAGGCTAGAAGGGCTGAGATCAGTTATCACTACAACAATGAAACGCAGCAAAACTACAGTCTTACATTAATGACCCCCAGAAAGCAACAAAATACAAAAACGTGATGAATTCAAACCCAAACTTCAGACCACAACAGCTTTAAGGCTCAAAGCGAAGGAAGTTGCTGTGGGCTGCAACAGTCAGAGACAACTTTTAGAGGCCTCACCATGACTATCAAGTCTCCCAGTTTCTAGGCAACTCGACTTACACTCACTAGTGATACACAGTCAGCTTCCAGGCTCTGCTCTGGCTCTGAGACATCTTTCCCTTATAAGATACAACTTATATTTGCAGCTTTTCTACTGAAATAAATAAATAAAACAAAGCAAATTCTCATTATCACTCACCCCACACAACACAGCTACCTTGCATTGTTTAGTGATGCATCTACCTTCGAGCCAAACCTACAAACGGAGATTTCAAAGCTTTGATCAGAAAACCTGATGCTTCCCTGGGCAGGGCCTTTTAGAGCTGCACCTCATCAGGTTGACGAGGCTGCCAAGGTGTTCGTCTCCTGGGCTGATCAGGTGTGCTCTGACCTTTCCGCAGAGGTGGATGTCAGCAAACCTTTTCATCCCCAGCTAGCCGTTCTGTGGAGCCTCGTGGTTTAAAGTTACAGCTGAAACCAAAAGAGCTTGGACATTATTTCCAGTTCAGTTTTGTATCTTCTGGTGAAAAAGCACATGTGTAATTCAAATCCTAGAAACCTGGCTTTAACTCTGAATCAGCTGTGGACCTGAATTCATACCTGAATCCTGGTTCTTTGGCTTTTCCTAATTAGTGTTATCACCTGTCTGTTACTGGCATGTCAAGTAGGAGACGTCTGCTACTGAAAGTCCCTCCTGGTTTGTAGTTTCATCAAGGTAGTCAAGAGAGGCTGCCTGTTTTAACCAGGGAAAAAATCAGGAGGAGACTCAGAGCCGATGGTCTGAGTGCAGTGCTGGGAATGAAGTATTGCTACACTCTTCTCTGTGTTCTGCCGAGGCATCATTTTGGTGTCACTGAGAAAATCAGTTCATGTCTCTGCACCTTTTCCTCTTGAAGATCATCTTCTTCCCATTGAAAATAAAGCCATTGCACTCAGTTATCCATCCCTGCAGGGGGTGGAGGAGGAATGATGTTTGCACGGTGCTTTGAAAACGTGTGTTTTTAAGAATTATCTGCTGGCACCAAAGGCAGAAGCTGTAAGTCATTCAACACCCTCCAAGTAGGAAATTAGATTCTCCTGACGTTCCTGGGAATGTTCTCTCTGGCTTGAAGCTGTTAGGTATCATCGTAAGTGTGTCTTGTAGCCAGTATTGTTTTGTGGCCAATACTATTGCTATAGCTCTATAAATCTGCAGACACTCTGCAGCAGGAGTGTGGTGCCAAAAAAATGCAGAGCTCCCCACTCTGTTTCCAGCCTGGGAACACACATTGGAGCGATTCAGCTGGACAGATGTGGCATGCTGAACACCTGACAAAGCCACTCAGGAACTGCAGAGGGACTTCTGCATGTCTCCGAACCCAAATGATTTTTTTTCTGCACAAGTGTTAAAACAAAAGAGTGAAAGCTAAGCAGGAGACAACGCAGATTAGCATTCCTAGGACCTACACCCAGCAGAGGTGTAGCTGGCAGTCACAGGGGGTGTCTGCATGTTCTCAGTCTTTCTTTCCTCCCCTGCCAAGACCAGCTACCAGTCTTACTTTCCTTCCTCGCATGAAGAGGGTAGCAGCGTGCTGGAAGACTGCCTACTGCAGGAAAACCGGTGCCTTTGCAGACAGAAATGAGACAATGAGGAGCTTCAGTCCAAGCTGATGGGGCCAAAGCGATTTTGCGGTGCAGCAGGAGCCACCTTCCCACCTTTGCAACAACTACAGCAGATAGCTGGGAACCCCAGGGATGCTCTTTCTTGGCAGGCACCCAGGTGCTCAGCTGGCTGCTCTGTTCCCTTGGTGTGAATGAGAGAAGCTCTGGCTTCAGATGCTCTCCTGACTCTTTTCAAACTCCCCCAGTCTGACGAGAAGGGAGGTGCCTTAGGGGGACTCAGATTTATTCAGTGCAATTCGAACTGCTCAGGAAGGCGGTTCTGGTAGGGCAAGAGGCAGCATTACCATGACAGGGGTACCTATAAGAGCTCTGCAGCAATAATTAGCATGATGCTAAAAAACATCATGTGGAGCCATCCTCCTCCAGGCCCGGTGGCAGTTGCCCACCAGATGATGGATGGGGTGAAGAGGACGGAGAGTTTGTAGAGCCGTACTGACATCAAGTCCCCGTGCCATGTGCTGTAGCCATGGGATTTTGCCCTTCGGCTGCCTCTTAAATGACTTGCTCAGCTGGAGTGGGCTACTGTCTGGCCTTGCAGCTCACAGCACAGGAGGGAATCTGAAGAAAACGCCTGTCCCGCTGCTGAGAGGGGGACTGTGGGTTGTTATTATTTATATTGTGGTGCTGCCTAATGTGTGCTGGGTGCTTTCCAAAGGCAGAAAGAACCACGGGCCCTGCCCTGGAGTGCCGTGTATAATTGAAAGAGCAGTCAGTGCATTATCCCAGCTGCGGGCTCTACGAACAAGCCATTCCTTCCATTCAGAGAATTGTTTGAGGCTGAAGGGAGTGCCGGGGATCATGCAGACCACCCCAACTATTGCCATAGACTGGGATTTATTTAATCTTCCCAGAGCGACGGCTGGAAGCTTAAAAGTGATTCCACAGTGTCCCCTGATAGTTTGTTCCAATTGCTGTAACTCTTCTTGGAATTATAAAGTTTTTTCCTAATATTTATACTAAATGTTCCCTGCTGCAGCCTCAAGCCATAACAGCATTTTCTGTCATTTTGCTAATGAGGATATTTGATGTGTGCTCTCCCTCAGAACATCCCTTAATGGAGCTGAGCACAGCCAGCCTGTCTCCTCCACGGGTCGAAGCAGCCCAGGGCTCCCAGCATTTCCTCACAGGCCACGGCACATCCATGGGTCAGTGCACAGCTCCGGCCGCTCTGCCTGTCTTCATCTCAGCTCCTCGGATGAACAGTAAAGACAGGAGTAATGAACAGCAAGCACAGGAGTAATGAACAGCACACACAGGAGTTTCTTTCTCTGCCTTCCCTAATACGTACCGCATGGCCAGCGCTCCCAACGCCCCCGGCACTCGGGCCCTCTGAGCTCTTTGCAAACCACCGTTTGTGAAACTCCGCAACCATCGACACAGTGTGGGGCTCTTCTTCGGTTGTAATTGAACTCTTTTGTTACAGAAGCAGAGAGATTAAGTGGGGTTTCGTAAGGTGTTTCAGCAAGATGGTGGCAGAACTACGGCTGCAATCCAGAAGTGTCGTGCGTGGACCTCTCAGCAACACTCCCTCTGTTCTGTGTGCACACATTTATATACGTATAGCCTAAGAAAATACTGATGTGATGTCCTGCTTGCATATTCCTAGCAAATAAAATTCTTAGACAAATCCAAACAATCTCTGAAACAGATCCATGTGGTTATTCGTGAATTGGGGAAAGCTATTTTCTTTTAATTTCAACTTTTCTCTTGTAGATAACTGGCAAAAGCATATATGTTGTGGTCTCAGCTGTGAAAAGCAGATTCATTATTTATTGCCAGTCTTCCTGGGAAAAGCCTCTCAAAACCCTTTGCTAATCTATGGTGTCCCAGCTGAAGCCCCCAGCAAAGGAATTCAATTTCTGGGAGCATTGTGTAGCTGTGCAAGGGCCTTTATTAGTGTCTGGGCACCCAGAATCCTAATCCTCTCTGAAAACGTTGCTCACCATAAGCAAGCAACTGGTTAAAGTGTGCAGCAGGGGCCCAGGTCCTCTCTTCTGGATAAAGCTGTGTAATTGTGCTTTTATCAAGAGGAGTCAGGAACGGCAAAGACTATAGGAATGAAACCGTGACTGCACTTCCTGGTCATTTATCTTGAAAAAGATAAATCTATGAAGAAAGAAATCGAGAGAAATAGGAGAAAAAGAAAAAAATAATAATCCAAAAAGGAAGAGAGAATCCAGGACACAAGATCATTCCAGAAGGATGTTTTGCAGAGTTTGCCATGAGCTTTTGGGTGGCCTTCCTTAATCGTGACTCAGAGAGTGCACGAATCTTCCTGGCTCTAGGAGGACACAATTATGTTGCATAATGTTATTCTCTCTGAATTTGTTCTCTCAAATGCATGCATGGGCTTCATCCATGTCCATATACCCTTGTTTCATTGTTTAGCACACATACAAAAAAGTACTTGCTTTTTCCATTTTAGCTGTCTTCTCTTGAGGTCCTGAATCACACCTTAAGCAAGCTGGTAGGCACTGGAGCCAGAAAAATCAGTGTTTTTAATTGCCCATTAGGCCTAAGTATTTCAGAAGAGCAGTCACACAATAATCAAGATCTAAAGGACATTCCTTCCTTCAATTTATCTCTAAGGCCTGTCTTGAAATTCCCCATACATCTAGGGCTTGAGGAGTAGCCTGATGGTTAGAGAAGCACAATTGGTATCAAAAAGCCTGATACTTCTCAGCTTAGTATCACTGTCCCTATGTAAACGTTTTGTGTTGCATTTGGCTGAGCTCCTGAGATGAATCCCATTTTGCTCTCGCCACCCTCTAGGTACAGAAGCAGGTTAACACCTCACAAGTTTTCTGGAAGCCTTTGCCAGCCACTGCATACACTGGCATTTGCAAATCCACATGTCGAGATGGCGCAACATTTCATGCAGAAAACTGGGCAGGACGTAATCCCAAATAACTGGGCTCACCTAAAAGACACAGGGAGCCTTTAGAGAGGACCAGCAAGCTGCCTCGTGACCAGCCACGTGATGACCATGAGCATCCTGATGCCACTGATCAGAGGACAAACGGAGGAGGCAGATATGGGTTGCTGCCCTGGGAGCCTTGCAGGGACTACCCGTGCCGCAGTGTGGCAGGACTCGCCACATGCCAAGGCAAACCTGCAGCCAGCAGAGCCAACACCAGCAAGCCAATGCAGTTTGGAAGAGGAAAGGATGCCAGGGTCTGGGTATTCCCAGTACCAAGCCTTTGCAGCTGCCTCCCTGTCATTTGCTCTGGGTTAAAGCTGGCAGCTGCAAAAACATTCTGCGAACTTGCTGTTCTTGCAGGGTTTTGTCACTCAGGTCCAGCATTTGGCTGGACTCGGAGGAAATTGCAGACTCTCTGTTTTCAGCACGGGTACTGAAATGAAAAGCCACAGCTAGAACAGCTGCTTCCTTCAGCCTCCCTGACCCCGCGGGTGGAGACCAAAGTGAGTTGCTTCCCCTGTGATACTCACCAGCTCAGAGGGCAGCCCTCACACACGCTATTAATTCTTAATAGAGAGGAGGACCTCTGAAAAGTCCTCAGGTAAAGCTGGTGGAAATCCAGAAAATCAAAAAAAGTGAGGTTTCAGCAACTATTTTTTTGGTCTGCACAAAAATGAAATTGCAAAATGTGTAAATCCTCCCTTGGAAAATGAGTTTAACCTTTAACGAGAAGAGACCCTATCCCAGGTAAGTGCCTTTGTGGCTGGGCACAGAAACCCAAGATGCTGGAGCTCTTGTGAATTCAGCTATAGCATTATTCTTCCAGCTCTTTGCGAGGAAGATGTCCCAGTGGTTCAAGGCAGGGAATGCCCATCCCACCGTGGTGTCTGGAGCTCTTTGCTTCTCTCCTCCCCTCCAATGTGCGACCGAGCAGAGATGGAAACTAGGCCTTGAGGTCTTCAGGTGGGAACATGTTTAGAAAGAGTGGGGGGTATCTTGGGTACT